ATTATTTTATTTTATATTATTAGAATTAGAAAAAGAATTAGAAAATCTTAAAAAACAAAATGAGCAATTACAAGAAATATATCAAAAAAATGTAAGGAATCTTATTAGAAAATATTAAATTGAACTTTATTTATAAAATTTATTAAATAATTTAATTTTAATAGCAACAATATTCAAGAAAGTCCTTACCTATCATTATTACAATTACTTTTGATTCAATACAAAATCATATACTGATTATTAATAGAATTTTTAAACCATCAAATATTAATTATATAAATATTTCTGAAACCCTACAAATTTCAAAAAATGAATTTTTATCTTATAAGATTTATTCATTAATTATATTTATATTAACTAAATATACAAATATTAATACAATTTTATTAGAGTGATATTCGTGACTTGGTAAATTCAGGTCTTTTAGATTTATTAAAAACTTGGAAAGATCAAGAATAACGAAGAATTTTTAAAGTTATTTTTAAAGTAAAAGTATATATTTTTATTTATTTATTTTAAATATATATAAATATTATATGTATTATATTAAACTAATATTTGAATTATTAGTTTAAAGAAAAAAATCCTTTATTTCCAAATATAGCAAATAATTTCTCATTATATTAATAATTAGCGTAAGCTATTTTAAATTTAAATTTTAAATTTAGTTTTATATATTAATGTTAATATATTTTCGAAATTTAGGTAGACATAAAAAACAAAAGAATTTAAAATAGCAAAAAATGTATCAATAAAAAGAATGAGATATATTATTTTATGAAATTTCAATTTTTGAATAATTTTTATTACTTATTTTTATCATAAATATATAGGATAATACTATGGAATCACCATCATCTACTAAAGAAAATAGTTTGAATAATAATGTTGTTAAATTAAAAATAATAATGATTATTATTTTGCTAGAAGCTATAATATTGACTTTTTGATTTTTTTATTGATTTTCTATTAATAGCTTAATTCAATAAAACAAAAAAGCAAAGAAAATTCAAAAATATCAGTTGATAACTCTTTTGTATAAGCCGAGGTATATAAAAGTATTTATAATTTATTATTTTTAAATATATTTTACAAATTAAATTTTTTTTTAAATTAGTCTAGTATAACTTCGTCAATACAAAAAAGTATTTATATTATTTAAAACTTCTTATTAGTTTTATTATTTTAAATTAATAAATTCTTTACTTATTAATAAATTAGAAATTTACTTGAAAAACAATTAAAAATATATAAAATCAGACTGCATTTTCAATTATCTACACTTATAGATATTGAATCTGACACTGATTCTAATATATCATATGATTCAGCAAAGGATAAAGGAAAAAGGTGATTAGAAATAAACCTTTTAACAATTTGTCTACATTAATACAAGATAATTTGTTATCATATGAGACCTTTACAATAGAAAGGAGGGAAATTGCCAGAAAATTAAAAATGAGTTAATGCTAAATTTGAACATATTTCAGCCTAAAAATCATATTTGACATATAAAGTGAAATTGATTTTTTCTGGCAGTTTCCCTCCTTTTTATTGCAAAGACTCTATATGTTAAAAAAATTAAGAAAAACCAAATATGCAGCAGCTGAAATTACAAAAAATGAATGAAAATAATAGCAATAAGGATTTATAAGAAATTTTACCTAAAAAGTAACTTCAGTAATAAAAAATGAAAAAATATAAAGAAGAATATAATCATGAAGATTTACAAGAAACAACACTTAATAAGCAACAGTATTAGCTACAAAAAAAAAATATAAAGATGTTTACAATAATGATAATTTACAAAAAATTTCACCTAAAAGACAGCAGCAATGAAAACTTACACGAAGTTTCATTAAAAGAATAGTAACTTCAAAAAAAATATATATAAAGATGACAATTTACAAGAAATTCAACTTAAGAAACAATAACAAAAAAAGAATAAACACCAAAATGACGAAATTGATAAAAATTTGCAAAAAAATTTATCAAAAAAGTAAAACAGGAACATGACTATTCATTAATTAATAAATTTGATAATAAACGTTATTCTGGAAGATTATCAATAAAACTTTAAAAAAGTAAGCAAATAATCATACATAAATTTTAAATTTTAACAAATTTTTTCTAACCTTTAAAACATTTTAAAATAGATTATAGAATTTAAAACTTTTAGTAAGTATATCAATTATTTATTATATAAATATTATTTTAAAAAATAATTGCAACTTAATTATAGTTTTTATTATTTAGTACAACTATAATGCAAAATATTAGAAATGTGGCACCTCATGAATTTAGTTTATGTAACTATTACCGTCAGGTAAGAACATTTATAATAATCTTTATTTTCTGACTGAATCTAATTGAAAAAAAATTATCTGATGTTTATATACAGTATAAGTATACTATGAAGTTAAGTTATTAGACTTTCTTTTTTTTTAATCTTATTTATATCTATATTTTTGTATTTTGCGATCTATAAAATAAAATTTTTTCAAAAAGTTTAAATCAAACAGATTATTTTAATGTGAAAAAAATAAAAATATATAAATAAATGATTTGTAGTAAAATATATGATATTTTTCAAAATTTTATTTATTATGGTTATTTCATGTTTTGGCACCCTATAAAAAATTTTGACTGTGCATTTTATTTTGATATATGAGAGTGTTTCCAGTAAAATCACATTACAGACCATATGATTTACTATGTCTCATAAGTTGATTTTACTAGAAACGTTCCCATATGATATATATAAATAAATCATAGGAGAAAATGTAGGTAAATTATCTTGAAAACATATAATATTTTCAGATTGTGCAGTGTTAGGGTTATTTCATGTTTTGGCATCCCACATAGTCCAGAAATCATCAGGTTATTTTTTGACACAAAAATGACACAAAACTTGTACAGAATTTTTTCATAGGGAAGATTGAATCTTAGGAAGTCTAATATTTGATAAGTTATTTAATATTATTGATTAATCTCATATTTATAACATTAAAATATTATAGCATACTTACTTTATAAATTTTCCAAGAGCTTTTAAGTGATCTTCTGTATTTTTAAGATTTATTGATATAAAATCAATAAGTTTTATGTTATTAAAACTTCTTATATGCTTTTCAGATATATCAGCATTATACGAATAAATTGTCAAATTTTCAATAAGATCTGCTTCTTCAAATGTTAAAATATCTGGTAATTTATTCCAAATACTTTTTCGCGTATTATAACTTACATTGAAGGTTGTCATATATTGATTTATTAATGCTTTTTTATTATAGAAGATTTAACACTGTTAGGATTATGAATGCTATAATTATTATTTGAATAAAATGGAATGGGAATGATGTCTAATACAGTGTTCAGAAATAACCTGGTTATTTGACCATTTAAATGATTTGTTTATTCCTTTGTCATAATTATAAATCATTTGTCATTTGTCATTTAGTCATTTTTTTTACAATAAATTTAGCGATACTCTTAAAGAATCGCAAATTCTTAGCGAGTTTTACAATTTTATTTTCTAATGATAAAGAATCGTTTCAAAGAATGATAGATCGTTCCAGTAGAATGATAGAAGAATCATTCTAAAGGAATGATTAAAAGCATCATTTTAAAGGAATAATACAAAAAAGTCATTCGAATAGAACGATACTACATCATTCTAAAGGAACGATACAAAAAATCATTTCAACAAGACGATAAAGATTATTCTAAAAGAAATATATAAAATAATCATTCCTTAAGAATGATACTATATTGTTCTATTGGAATGATGAAAAAAATCATTCCTTAAGAACGATAAATGGTCATTCTAAAGGAATGATAAAAAAATTGTTCCAATAGAATAATACTACATCTTTCTAAAGAAACAATACAAAAAATCATTTCAATAGGATGATAAAGATCATTCTAAAGGAATGATACAAAAAAATCGTTTCTTAAGAATGATAAAAGGTCATTCTAAAGGAATGATAAAAAAATCATTCTAATAGGATGATAAAGATTGTTCTAAAGGAACGATACAAAAAAATTGTTCCTATAGAATGATAAATCATTGTTCTATCAGAATGATAAAAAAATCATTCCTTCAAAATGATAAAAGGTCATTCTATCGGAATAATAAACAATCGTTCTAATAGAATATACTATATCGTTCTAAAGAAATGATACAAAAAATCGTTCTAATAGAATGATAAAGATTGTTCTAAAGGAATGATACAAAAAAATTGTTCCAATAAAATGATACTACATCATTCTATCAAAATGATAAAAAAAAATCGTTCCCTAAGAACGATAAAAGATCATTCTATCAGAATGATAAAAAATCGTTCCAATAGAACCATACTATATCATTTTAAAGAAATGATGCTTTTAATCGTTTCTTTAGAATGATTCTTCTATTATTCTATCAGAATGATACTTTTAATTATTCCTTTAGAATGATTTTTTATTGTTCTATCAGAACGATGCTTTTAATCATTCCTTTAGAACGATTCTTTTATTGTTCTATCAGAATGATACTTTTAATCATTTAGGGACTTTGCAATAGAAGGGGGGAAACTGCCGGAAAAATTAATTTTACTTTTATATGCCAAATATGATTTTTAGGCTAAAATATGTTCAAATTTAGTATTAACTCATTTTTGATTTTTCCGGCAGTTCCCCCCTTTCTATTGCAAAGGCCCCATTTTATCAGAATGATGCTTTTAATCGTTCCTTTAGAATGATCTTTCTATTATTCTTTTGAATGAAACTAAAAAATTGTTCAATTTTTAGCTTGAGTTTAGCACTTGACTTAATTTTACTAGACTTGTCTGACTCATAATTTGAGTCAACTTGTTTAGAACTTGAATATAATTATCTGAAGCATAGCGGAGGATATTACAGATTACGCCAAACCAATGCAAGGTTTATCTGTCTAAGCTAATCAAATTTACCGTAAATAATAAATAATAAATCACGTGTAAAATTTCTAAAATCAGTCATGTGTACACGTGAATTTTATCGGTAATAAGCAATTGTTAAAATTTTCTTTTTTGAATTCAGAATGTAAATGCAATACTGGATCATGCACTTCGAAAACATAAAAGCAGAGATTATGAAAATCTGATCAATGTGAAACTCATCATACCTATGATAGAGAAAATAAACATATTAAAAGGGCTGCAGAAACTACAGATCAGTATGAGAAACGATTGAGTAAAGTTCGTAAACGAAAGCAAATAAAAAAGGAGTTTTAAGAAATATTGATGAGCATTTAAACCGTCAGGATGAGAACCAGACTCAAAATATTGATGAATGTCGTCTTCTTGAATCAGATCAAAAACTCTTACAAAACTTTCGCTCTAAGATTAATAGTTTTAAGAATCATCTTTGCCCTATGTGTTATGAATAATTTCCATCTATCAATCTTGTGTGTGGAGTATGTTTTCATTGTTATAGAGATAAAAATCCATTAAAAAAGTTTTCTGCTATGAATAATATGGATCCGGATGATGTATCATATGTTTTACAAGGACTTACCAAAATAGAAGAAATGTTGATTACACAGATTTTTCCAATTGTTTCTGTCTGTTACTTTTGTAGAGGTCAATATGCGTACTATAGTAATGTTATCAATTTTCCACAAAAGTGTTAGAGTTTATGTCATGCCTTCCTTGAAATCCTTCTTCACTTGATATTCTTGTTATACGATACCAATCTGTAAATGGTTTGGCTTTTAAGAATTTTACTGTTTGTTATACTAAAGTTGCTTGTGCTCTTTACTGGTTAAAAGAAAATAATCATTATTATGCAAATATTGTCATTGATGAAGAAGTGTTACGTATTTTACCTAAAAATAGTCCAATTGACAATTAGCTACCTCATATCGAAGATACAACTAATCACTTTAACAATGATAATGCAAATGACAGAAGTAGGGTTAGTCAATGGTTCAGTAGGAATGATCCTAGACATTATCTTTAAATAAGGTCAGAGTCTTTCCTAACTTTTTAATGCAATACTGATAGAATTTGATGGTTATACTGGTCCTGCTATCATAGCTGTGAAAGGTAATAATTCATTCTAATCACTCCCATTAGACATACTTGGATGGAAAAAAATGGAACTTGTTCATGTTTACAAGTCCTTATTTGTCTTGTGTGGGTAATCATAGTTCATAAAAGTCAAGATTTGACCTTGCGAAAGGCTGTAATAGATCTTAGAGAAAAAGAGTATATAGCTGGCCTTTTGTTTATAGCTGTATTTCAGGTTTGTACTCTCGTAAATACTCTTTTTAGACCTATTTCATTTGAAGACTCCATCATGTTAGCACTGTTAGTGATAGTCTAGTTATGATGCATTAATACTGCACCAATTATAATTAGCGAATGATGATCCAATCGATCATGGATCTCAACTTTCTCTAATTTCTATGATTTCTATTATTTCTCTAATTTCTTAACGATCTTAGCGATATATAATTTCTTATATATCATTAATTTTTTATTTATATTATATTTTTTATTTTTCTTTAATATATTAAATATCTATTTCATATTGATGTATTTTATATAAATATCTTGTATTTCTGCCACAATAAACAGCTGAGTCGTTACAATTCTCTAATAAATCAATAACATTTATCTCTTAATAATTATATCTTTGCTCAATATACAATTTTATACTTCTTTAAATCTATATCGATATAGATGACCCGACCTTTCAACATAATATATCTGTGTTTATTTCTTCCATAGTTTAGACGCACTTAAGTTCCCTGTTAGCAAATAATCTTAGTTAACTTAAGGGTAGTGGGTATATCGATCATTTTTATATATAGATCGGTGGCTAAAAAGTAATGTGATATTTATTCAAACCTAAACTTTTTTAACGAACACCAAAAAAATTTTTACACTACTACTGTTCACTTTCCAAGAACCCTTACTTTTTTATTTTTGTAAGAATAGTTTATATATTATGACTGTTTTTATTTAAAGTAGCAAAAATGTAATATGAAAATTTCGAGTGAGCTCAGTTTTTTCGAATGAAAGAACTTCACTAATAAAAAAACGCGAAGCAATATATAAATTGCTTAAAAACATTTTATTTTTCTAATACATACATGAACTGAATCTTATTTTCAAGTTATTGCAGTTTTGTTAATATAATTATTATATTAATAATAGACATTTTGCATTTTCTTTTTTGTGTTTCGGTTTGTAATTGTTTATTAGATAATGTTACATAATAAATGGTATAAAACACTTACCTCCCAAGATCTCAATAACCGATATGCTATTAAATGACCAAATGGCAGTTGGGTAGTAATTGATTATTCCGCTGGTCTTTGTTCTAGCCTTACATAAGAAAGAAAAAGCATTTGATTTTACTATAAAAGATACTTCTATTTCTGAAAAACAAAATTATAATGCTAGTTATCTTTTCATTCACAATCAAGAAGCAGAGCAATCATTAATACCATTATTACCTGAATATGTAGTTTTTACTTTAGCAGGCAAAAAGCAATTTAAGTTATTAATTCTGAAAAACAATAATCAATTACTTTTCTCTTGGGAAGAGTTTGATTCCGATGCATTGTATGCTGAAAAAAAGGTGCAAGGTATTGAGCAGCTTACATTTCATTGTATGCTGAAAAAATATAGCCTTAGTTCAAATACTTCTTTTCAATCAATTCGTAGTCTTAGTGATCCTCAAGTAATTATCAAACTTTAACGACTTGTTCATGAAAAGTTTCCTTTATAATATCCAATCGTCTCTCAATAAAAAGAACCTTTTTTATCAGAAAGTTTATGACAAATTAATTCACAGAAAAAAGAAGAAATGTTAAATCAGAGTCTAAAGCAGGAAGGAGAAAAAATTGATGCATTTTTATGTGAAAATGCTAGTAATAGTGATCAGAATAACCTTTTTGGTATACGGATTGAATCCAATAGAAAGGTATTATCTCCTAAAACAACACAGACTCTAATATTAAAAATATGGAATATAAACAAACAATTTATTCTCAAAACAAAAAATATAAACATTAAAAGACAAGATTACATCAATAGAAGAAACTAAAAAAACTAATATAATTGATAACAATGCGGAAATTCAAAAATTGGTAGAAAAAGAAATTGAAGAAAAAAAATTAGGATAGGTTATCTTTATGAGTACCTCACAATAACTTTCTATAATTCTTTCATTACCTTGTCCAAACTGTTGACTTTAATATATCAAATCGAACATTTTACATAATAGTAT